GAAGTTATTTTTTATCTTAAATTCATCTATCTGAGCAAAAATTTTACTTGCAATATTTGTAACTCATGTAACTCATTCTTTAAAAAGCATTTTTCAGTCCATTGGTCTCTTTATTGCTGACAGGGCTTCTCAGCTAGGTGTGCTGAGGCTGCAATAGGTTTTCTCTCCGTTTCAGCCCTGCATACCTGCTGACAGGTGACTCAGGAGGGAGGGGACGGGCAGAGAGAGGCTGAGAGACGAAGGTTTGTAAGACTTAACGTCAGATAAAGAGGGGGGGTGGGGGTGGCAGGGAGATGGGAAGCTGGGTGTGGTAAGATGCCTTAAGCACATTCCTCATTGCAGCCGCACCCAGCATGTCTGCATCTCTCTACCTGCCAGTATTTGCTTTCAGAACTCATTCATGTATAAAAGGCAATTCCTGTACTTTCTCTCTCTTTTTCCTCTGCTTCCGTCTGTGTTCAGCCTGTTTCATTTCTCCTCACTTCCAGCGTCTACGTGTGGCTGTTCCCCTCAGCGGTGGGCAAAAGCTCACACTCCCATTCCTTACATTTCACGTTGATGTAACATTAACAGAGCTAGAGCAAACATACGTGGCGAGAGTAAAGAAACATGGCCTCCATTGTGTGAGTGTTAGTGATATGAGGGCATGATTGGGTAGACATTCTGACAACAGCCACGCCCTTAAGAGCAGAACATTCATGCTGTGAGCTATCAAAAGCCTATCAAACAAGGTGTGTCCTGTGCAATGAACACATTTTCAGGGCAAAGGAGAGTCTATAAAACAAGCTCACTGGTCTATAGATTTATCACTCTTGCACCCTGAGCTGATGTCAGGATTGCTTTCTTTTAGGTGAAGATTGCATGGTTTCATATCAGTGAAAGCGAAGCAGAAGTGTGAGAAAAGTCAACTGAAGTAGTGTCAGGGTTAAATTTTGGTTTACAGAGGGTACACGCAGCAGCATGCTTTGCAAGATCCAACCTTTTCTGAGGAGATCAAATGAGACGTTACAGCATGCAGTGGTGAGACTGGTTTTAAGGAGCCTTCTGTAGAGAAGGGGAAATGATTAAATAGTCGATTTAGCCTCAGTGATTCACCATGGAGAAAAACAACAGACGATTCATCGACATCAGAGTTTTTAGGCAGAACTCTAAGGAAAACACAAAGTAAAGTTAATACATATTTTAAAAAATTAATATATATTTATTAGAATGATTTTAATTGTGAACAATCCAAAAAATAAACTTAAAGCTAATAAAGGAAACAAGATAATGATGACATTATGAGACTGATTAAACATTTTTATTGATGTTTATTATTAAAAATGATCCCCCCCACTTAGTTATTCATGAAGGTCTAATGTTAGAGCCATAAAAAAGAAACATTTAGATCATAGAGTTATTTGGATTTTTTGTGCAATCCCTTTTTCTTTTACTTTTGTCCTTTTTTATTAAGTAGGTTGATATCAGTACAGGTTTGTTTTATTGTGAAGTTTACTTTTATGTTGAAAGGCTTACTTCCTGTTGATGCTCTTAAGTGGATGGATACACAGGGCAAGATTTTTGCACAGCATTAAATAATATAGTTTTAGACTATGTTATGGCAACAGATCCATTATCTGTCATTTTAGTTGCATGCTTGCATGCTGTGTATTTTTTGGAAAGAAAGAAAATACTTTTTGGTTTGTTTTTTTTTATTTCCATATTCCCTTGATAAATCATTTGCTGGTTAAATTTCCAAGGGTGCAACTAGAATGACACAAATATTGGTCTGTTTCCATAACAACTAGTACTGATCACAACTTAAGAGAGCATCAATCAACAGTCTAGTCTACACCTTATTCTTTACCCCTCTAGCAAAGATGTGTAAAAAGCGTTAATGAACTGCACTGCAGCAGCTACATTTTGCATAAAAATATTATTTTGCAGTTCTGACAGGGTGTTTATTTATATACCTTTTTTTACTCAAAATGCAGAAATTACAAACAAGCTGAATGCACTGTGTGCCTACATCAATCCTTTTTGCCTACTGTATCACTCCTATATATAGCAGAAAGAAAACTGGCTGCTCGTCCTGCCTTAGTTACTTACTGCTGCAGTTCTAGTTGTTTTAAATGTTAATGTTTGATGTAAGCTGCAAATAGCGGTTTTCTGGTAGCAATTATTAGAGTGATAAAGATCCTCATGCATCTATTGTAATTTAAATAACCTGTCTTTGCAATTTAGAAGACAGCCCGATTGAAGTTGGACAAATGTGGAGCCTTATCAATGCACCAAAAATAAATTATTCGGTTACTAATCAAAAGATTGGACACATTCTAATTAATTTAGAAATGAAAATATTCTTCAGTTACATTTATACTAGTGTTAGATGTGTCACTAATTCTGACTGATTTTGTAATAGTATGGACAGTGCTGTTAATTTGTCTCTTAGGGCAGCGCTGCATTCACAACTAAAAAATGTATTGAGTGAAAATCTCAAGTTGATCTCCTGGTTTGGGTAATGATCAATGTTTGGCTTCTTTTTCAAAGGAAATACTTTAAGAAGCAACAAATAACCATAGAGGTAAGCACCAAAGCTGACCTGCAAAGTTCCTTAGCATTTACAATCAGTGGGAGAAACCTGTCAAACTCCCTTTTCTGAAAAATTAGCTCTATTTGTAAAGCTGTTCTAAAAAAAAAAAACAATGAAGTTATTCTGTATTTTACCTCTTTTGAAATAATCTGAACAAGGTATTTTATTGAGGAAAGAGGCACTGAAACTACAGATTGAAAAATGCAAAAGATTAATCTGTAAAGCATTTTACTGAGTCATTTTCCCAATTATATATTAAAATTGGGCTTAATTTACTTGAATACAAACCTGTAAAAGGTGTAGGGATCCTATTGCCAGTCAGAATGGTATATTATTGGGTTTATTTCAATAAACTGTTGTATCTCTTGCACCTCAGCAATCTGTTGCAAGCCAAAAGAAATAAGAAACACACCTGGATAGGTGTTGGAACTTCTTCAGAAACCCAGTGAAAGTCTGATAGCCTTCCATTTTAAACCTTTGTGTGGTTGCCATGACCAGGATGACTAAAAATTTACACAGCCAAACTGTTGTAATAATTTTTTATTTTCAGAAGCAACGTATTAATTAGTAAAATGTGACTCATAATTTTTTTTACGGCACTGCTGAAATTAAGAAGCAATGTGCTGTTATTGTATGTGGATATTTCAGTGATTGCAAAAGGGAACAGATCTATTAAGGTTGCAAGACTATTAAAGTTAGTTCCCGAATTCATAATATGACCAGACTTTTCCTTTAAAACCGTCTTCTTCATCAGTTGTTTTGAAACCGTCTTCTCCTGATATAAAACAATGCTGTTTCTCAATATGTGTACTTGTGCATTTTCCTGTGATGTTGTACTTGTGAAACGTCATCAGACTCGCAGAACGAGAACGGACAAAGTCCCCGGATGTTGTTCTCACCCCTGCCTCTTTATAGAGTATGCATCAGAGCAAACCATTTGTGATATTAATAGCTGTCCCAGCATGCACCAAAGCAGCAGCAGCTTCCAGGGGAGCGCTCACAGAGCTCAGAGTTTTAAGTTAAAAGTTCACTTTTCTGTTGCTGTTGTTCAATAAAAGGATGTTTAAGATAATTTGAGGTGAGAATATTATACTTTAAAGCGTCACTATATGGCCCATTTACTGATTTAGTGCTTAATTTAAAAACTATTTCAGATGTTGAGAGGACCACAGCAACCAGCGGACCTCTGTGGTTAATAGCAGCCAGGGCTAACCTTAACCTGTCTGCAGCATAGCCATCTGTGAAGGACCGCTGGCTCTGATGCCGATTTTTTTTTTCTTTTATTTGGCAAAATGTTCATTTGATTTGTGTTTATCTGACTGTGTTAATTATTATTCCCCCATTAAAAGAAACAAGTAAGAGTTTATTGTTATCTAGTGACTATTAATAACAGGCAGTGAAATTCGGCTAAAGACGAGCCGAGTGCGTGGTGACGTCACAAGTACGCTTCTGTTCCAACTGACCCATATTTATGCTGCCAGTTCTCCCCGAGTCCAGACTTTCCTGTGTTCTTCTCAAGAACATACATGGCAAGGACACGAGTCCGTTCTCGCGTTCTAATGAATTGAGAAATGGCACAAGTCTTCTAAAAGAGAGCAAAAAAGTCATCTTTTGCTCTTTATTTAAGCTACTTGCTGTGTTCTTTTTTCCAAACTAAAGGAAAACGCCTTTTTTTTCACACTGACATCATACACACGCTTTGTTTTTAAAAGATATAAATATAAGAAATATAACCGCAGATGTCTCGGGGAAAGTGATTCGCCTTAATGTAATGAATGCTGGCGTACCATAAAGAATATATTATGAACAGTTTAGTTTGTGCCTTCAAGTCGTTGCCCATAGGAAGACGTTACTTGGATATAATCTAACGGAATATCTTCATAACAGCTCCAAATGACACAAAACTCATATGGGTGAGTAGAACATGATGTAATAACATCAAATCAAGGGTCAAATGTTAAAAAAGGGCATTTTCCTTTAATAACAGGAGGTGAAATTCAGCTAAAGACGATCCGAGTGCGATCTGAGTGCGTGGTGATGTCACAAGTACGCTTCTGTTCCAACTGACCCATATATTCTGCTTATTTGTTATTTTTGTAATGTGTTCCCCCCAAACACTGGTCTTCAGTAAAGGGGCCATAATTTGGGCCAGGGATAATTTAACAGGGGTGCTGGCCCCTGTTGGCCCCTATGTAGTACCGCCTCTGACCCAGCTCCCTAACTGATGGCCGGAGTCTGAAATGTTTTTGTGAAGCGGTTAAAGATGAGATCCTTCAAAGAACTGATAACAATAGCGCCATTAAGATCCATTCCACTGAGCCCACATTTGAAAGAAAGCAGAGGAAGCAAACTTCCAATGATGTTTTCCCTTGTTGCGCTGGGAGGAGTCTCTCCACCGGTGGGAAAGCCCTTCCTTTTAGCTACTCCTCTACTTTCCCTCATTCACAGCGCTGACCTACAGCCAGTATCCCCACGGAGGATCTCACACCGCCGAGAGGAGCCCTCAGCCCCGTGGAGGGGGGAACGAGTACGCGGTCAGTGCGCAGGCTCCAGGCGGAAGACTGGGGGGGGTGCGGCTCCTGTCCGATCTGAGGAATGTGACACTCGGACGAGAAAGGAGGCCCGAGTCGAAGGCGGAGAGCGAACCGCCCGGTCGCTCCGGAGACAGCAGGGGGAACAAGTCGTGCTGCGAAGCGAAGGAGGTACGAAAATGGATCAACTCAGCCATCTGGAGCAAAACACTTCTTTGCATAAAGCGACTATAATGCTTTAATTATACCATCTCTACTATCTGATCTCTTAAATTACTCACTATCTAGACCATGTTAAATATTCCAACTTTCTATGAGCATGGTTATAAAAGTAAAATCAAGCCAAGAAACTTTCCTCCTCAACAGGCAGCAGTTTTTACAGGTTTGGGTGATCCAGGTATCTGTTGTGCATTATTGCTACGCCCTGAGCAGACTGCTCTCTACAGTCAGAGCACAGAAACACAGGGCTCCCTGTCTTTTATCCTTTTTTCTCCCAGTCCACTGAAGGAGGAACTATAAGAACAATTATGGACAGTTTCTAAAAATGAATTATCTGCTTATAATACTTATAATCTGTTTACAGCTTCTTTATATAAAATATATATACATTTTTTTTTTATCAGAGCTCGTCTGCCTGGCTGTGTGTTTCCTGGACGGGGCCACCTTTTACAGTCGCTTTTTTGTATTTTTGCTTCTGTCTCCTTGAACCGCAGTCAGCCTCGGCAGATGGCCGTTCACACTGAGCCTGGTTCTGCGGGAGGTTTCTTTCTGTTAAAAGGAAGTTTTTCCTCTCCACTGTCGCTACAAGCATGCTTAGTGTGAGGGATTGCCATCTAGTCAATGATTCGATGCAATCAACAGGTTTGCCTTAGATAGAAACTTTGAATCAATTTGACTGTATGATCTGGTGAACTGTAAAGTGCCTTGAGATGACGTGTTGTGTATTGGCGCTATAGAAATAAACTGAATTGAATATATATATATTAATAACTTTATTCTATAACAGTGATCTGATACTTTTAAACATTTCTAAAATTTCTGTATATATAACAGGATATCATTACAGCGTTTTTCAGTAATTTACTGGTGAATTTGCTGGTTTTATGATTTTCTTTTTCAAACAAATGTTTCAAAGACATTATATTTTGTAATTTTTTATTATATACTTGGCGAAATGATTGTTATAAATTTTTTGGTGGGCTTTTCTGGCTAATTTTTTAGAGGCTTTTAAATCGCAATGACCAAAATAAAGAGATTATATCTCGATATAGGCTTTGACATACTGTGTAGCTCTATAACTATTTTAGCAGCAAAACTTTAACAGCAAAAACACATCTCTTAATCTTCATTTACAATATTATCCTGATGGTTAAAGGTCAGATATAACCTAGTTAGGAGGAATTGCATCCTACCTTATCTGAGACCTAATATATTTAAGACGAAAAGCCGTTTTGCTTTTGTTTCTCAAACTATTACATAGAAAATGTTTTAAATTGATTATATTAAATGTTAGGACCAGACAGGGCATCAAACCGAGTTCTGCAGCTTAGCAGGATTTCACTGTCAATAGAAAAGCAATATGATTAGAGGTAATTTTTTAAGCTGTTTTCAGGATCTATGTTGGCCATGTAGTTTTTTTTAACTGTAATGTTTTCAAAATGATGTGTTAAACACACTATCATTGTGTCAATAATATTGTGCAGGAGAGAATTTGATTCCTTTAAATCAATTATTTCCAAAGTTGGGGTCATGACCCCATGAATCAACAAGCATGTGGTCTTAAAGCCTCTACATAATTGGACTAAACACCACAAATATTAATGCTGATGCATATTTATGTGTTTAAAAACCAAAAAACCTAACTTAAAAAATACCACACATCTATTTTGGTTTGTAGAAATGTTTGTATACTCAACCAATAGTTTAGGTCATAGGTCAACAATTATACAATTTTGTTGGTTGAAATGGAAAAGTTTAGGAACTTCCGCCTTAAAGGATAAAATAGATCCATCCAAATTGCTGTAATAAGCTCTTATTTAACAATTTTGACAAATTGTTGACATGTCAATGAAGAAAATGGATTTACATCTCTGTATTTCTTCTTTCTTCATTTTGAAACAACTCATTGATGCTGAAAATAACTAACTTTGAGAATTTAACAAATGGTAACCACTTCCTCATTAGAGAGTGTATTTGTCTCTATACTTTCAGTGATTGTAGAAAACATTGCAGTCTTCATTCCTGACCGGCCGAGCCTTATCATCAGGGCATTTTAACAAGTGGTTACATTTTATAAGCATGTCTCATGGCTTGTTTGAACAATGCTTTGCATGCTCTGGTGTTCGTTGAGATGGGCTTAGTGGAGCTTCAAGCCTTTTGATTATAGTCCTTTCTGTTGAGCAAGGAAGACTGGTTTGCAGGCTCTAATAGTAGAATAACTTCATGCAAAAAGCTGCTTTTTTACAGCTTTTCTCCTCGATTCTGCAGAGTGAGTCACTGTACAGGAATAGCCCCCAACATGTGGTTGTAATTTGTGGGGAAAAAAAAAAAGCTCTTCAATGCCAGTTTTTTTTTCCTGTCCCCAATGCGTGTGTCTCCTAATTGAATCTTGTCACATTTCCAAGTGTCTGCATATCATTCTTTAAGCGCTGTCTGTTTTTGTATATCTTGAAAGGTTAATGTGCTTTAGGAAAAGAGAGGTGGAAAAATGCTTGAAAGCTTCAGCCACTGAGTTTTCCGTTCAGGCTGACCGCAGGCCTGAAGGCAGTTGGAACAGATGACGGGCTCCTCAGAGGACCTGTTTTTCTAGCCGTGAAAAAAAAAAAACCCGGGAGAATGTGAGCCGCCGAGTGTTGTCACACATTCAATGCGTGTTCATCTGTGTGTTTGAGCCGCCCTTTGTGCTTCATTCAACGGCCTTGTTGAGGTGTGAAGTTATACAGTGAGACAGGAAGAGCCTAGTGTATGGATTTATTCAGGTTGTGTGCATTAAGCTGGAAATCCTGACAGGAGCATCAGAACGTTATGGGCCCCTAAACCTGTTCTCAGGTATTGCTCTTTTTGCAACGAGTTCTAACACCTGAAAAAAAACATGCTGGATCAAACCGGCTATTTGTTCAGCGAGGCGTGTTTGGATGAAGAGAGAGAGAGAGAGATACTTCTTGATTTTTTGTGTCCTCTCTGCCTTTTTAGGGTTTATTCCCACACCAGGACTGATTAATTAGCGGTTGTTCCTGTCGCCTCGTCCAGGAATGTTGATGAAACATGAAACATGCAACATGCAGTGTGCACTTCAAGTCTATGGCAGCCTTTTGCTGCTGTATTGTTCTGGTTTAGAGTTTCACTGGTCTTGTTTAGGTACATTTTGTTTTGGACAAAGAGCAATACAGAGCTCTGGATCAGTTTGGTGCACACTTCTGTTGCCATAGCAGCAGACAAACCATCATTATCTGTTTTGATATCCTACCTGTCAGCTAGTGGTGTTCCTCCACTGCCTCATCCTGCAGTGACCCATAGGTGAGCAGGGTGAAGAACAAACCACAATGCTGTTTGTTGTCTTTGTGCACAAGTTAGGCTCTTCGCTCATAACTACCTCAGGGCTTAAATCGTTCAGGTATTCTCAGGAATTTTAATAAACACGGATGAGTCATGAAAAAGTTTATTTTTGAAGCATAAACTCCTACAAAGGCCTTAAAGTGATATTTTTACACTGGGAATTTGTTAAAAATTACCTATTTGGTAATTTTTTAAATGGATTGAAATCAGTTTGACTAAATTAGTGATATCTATTAAAAAGGTTTGAATAATCACTGTCTGCTCATAACAATCCTTAAATACTTACAGCCGTCTCTTTTTCACTAGATTCTATAAAGTGTATGCATCCACACCTTGGAATAAAAAGTGAATTTCTGGTTTTAGAAGGACAGAGATCTTTGTAGCCAATTAGAGATGAGAACATTTATTTAAAAAAGTCTCACAGATGAAGACAAAGTCTACAGTGGCTAACATAGCTGCTGTTAATTGAATTTGAACAGTTTTAAGAGCTTATTGTTTCAAATTTTCTAACATTTTCAACTTTTGAGGTTTATAAATTTTATTTTTAATGACATGTAAAGTATTGGAATTTTTCCTACTCCGGCGATTTCACTGCCTTATGTTACTTGGAATAAAACTCCCATATTGCTAGTCACTACCTGTCAGCAAATTGGAAAAAGGCAACGAAACTTTCTATTTACAACACACAAAAAAGGGGAAAAAATGCAGTAAAAACCAGAATAACTACATTTTTAAAAAAAAAAAACGTTAATGTGTTTAAAACTGCAATTGGTAAACTTCTGTCTCCAAAGAATCTGACTGCAGGCTAGCTACCTGAAAATACCACCTGACTTATTAATCACTCCATATAGTTACATTTGTGAAACTCTACTCAATGTATTTAGACTATTTTATATGTTTTTATGCTTATTCCATGATACCTTGTTTATTATGCTGGAGGTTTCTTCCTGTTAAAAGGGAGTTTTTCCTCTCCACCGTCGCTGTATGCATGCTTAGTGTTTTAGTGGATTGCTGTCGAGTTCATGAGCTGGTTTTCTTAGATAGAAAACTCTGAGCTAATCTGACTGTATAATCTGATCTGGTTGAATTATCTCTGTACAGTTCTTTGAAATGACGTGTTGTGAGTTGCCGCTATATTTATAACCTGAATTGAATTATACTATAAAAACATATCACAAGCCAAGTCCTGGTAAATTTTTAAACTAATTTTTAATTCCTTCAGGTATTAAAATGATTTAACCTGATTTAATAAATTAACAAAAAAATCTAAAACTTATATCTAAAACATAAATTTTATTATCATGTATTTATATTCTCATATTTGATTTTTAGAAAATTTATATATATTTTAAGCAAGTATTACCATTTAATTGAAATTTTTTAACCATTACAGTACATTTTGTGAGAAGTCTAGAAAATAAAACTGGTAATTACATAGTAATGATCATAAAAAGTATCGCTGTTGGCAACCGTATCTTTATTTCGAGTATGTCAACAGCTGTTTTTCTTTTGTGTTACCTAACAGCCTATAATTTTAGGTTTACCTGCTGAGAAAAATTCAAAGTTTGTCATTTTCATGTGCTTCACTGAAGCTGCAGCATAGTTTTCAACCAACAAAGCTGCTGAAGGTCATTTAAGAATTTAGAGGAAAATTTAAAAGATCAACTGAGTTGGTTAGGTTATTTTGGAAAGTAGGCACAAATGTAGAACTAAGGGGCATTAAATGATGATGACAACAAGAAGTTGAAGAGGAGAAAAAGGACCAATTTTCATGAAACTAGTGAATAAAACGGAAGCAAGCAATTTTGTCCATAGATAAATTACAAAGCTGTAGTCTGTTGCAATTTTATCCTCCGGCCCGGCCACGCCAGGACATATTGGATGACTCACCACTGGCTGAGTCAAATGGGTTCTTCCACTGTTTGTGGGTTAGGAATTGTGCCCTTTGCTATCAACGTAACCAAGCCCTCAACGTTTACACAGAGCCCATTATACAAACCTTTATAGCAGGTACAAGTTCTCCCTCAGCCAGAGCCCACGACACACCCTGATAATTCAACTAGACCTCCAGTTAGCCAGAAAAACCAAGACAGAAGAACACTTCCTGTTGGGACCACAGGCTTATTTGTGGGGTAAAAAAAAGGTTAATGAGGTTTAATCTAATTAAAATGTAGCTTTAATCACTCTATCTTGTGTCTAAGTCATATGATCTATTAACTTATCAGTAATGTGATACAGCATGATTCAAATCTGCAGGTTACTAATTTTACTGTCTTTATCTAATAGCAAAACAAAATCTTTTAAGTGGTGGTCTGTATTCATTATAACCAAGTGATCGCGATTTTGCATAAGAAGAATCAACCATGCTTTACACAGCAGGTTTTCTAGTAAGTTAAAAGTCATGAGTGGCTTACAGAAGATTTATTGAAGCCTTCAGACTCTGTCTTGTCAAGGCCTAACAACAGACAGCATGAAGCGTGACGCACCGGCACGACAAGCTCATAGTCCTCGTACGAACAGACTTGTCTATACACCTCCTCATGCCTTTCCCACCTCTACCAGGGTCTTTTTCTTGTGTCATTTTTCCAGTACGTCTTCCTTCCATTGTATTTTCTTCCTCCTGTTGTTTCTGTGTCCAAAGTCTGGTTTGCAGTTTATACTACAAGCTTAATCCCTCAATAGTTCATGATTGGCATTATCGTGGGATGTTTTATTGCAGGTTTAGTGTTTCATGAAAAAGACTATAAAACCGATTGGGATCTTTCAAAATAACATCCCAAAAATCAGTTTAATTACATTTGAACAAAGTCACAACATTATGCTAAATTTAAAAAAGAACGAGCTTCAAAAAATCCAGATATTTTTTGCCCTACCAAATAAAGTTTGGGATGAATCCCATAGTAATTATGTTTTATAGTCAGTTGGAGTAAGTTACCTTTAATCCCTTGGCATTGATTTACCAACAACAGTTTCTTTGTTCGCTATAGGAAACCAGCCTGCTTGTGTATCTCAACACCAAGTGGCCTTTGTTTTGCTAGTTTTTTTTTTATTTATTTTTTTACCTTTTTATTGAATTATGGTATTGTTTGTTCTTAATGAGGGAGTGGAGTGTTTTTACAGTGAGTGTGCTGACAAAAGCAAGGTGATCTAAACACAGGAAAGCATCCTTTTCTTTGGTCTCGGCTGCTTTCGTGTTTGCTCTACCGATTCTAAGACTCCTTTAAGTTAAGTCTGTTCTACTTGCTTGTTTTCACCTTTCCTGCAGAGGCTTTTGACTTGACTTTCGACCACACCCAGTCCAACAATGCCGCACCGGTCGCAGAGCTCATCAGTTGGAGATAATCCCCTCGACCCAAACTATCTGCCCCCACACTACCGCGAGGACTATCGTCTAGCTATCGATGCTCTGCTGGAAAAAGACCATCAGGTACCAATTATGATTCTTTCAACTTGATAGAAAAAGGACTTTGATAAAGAATTTTTAGTTTTTTAGTTTTTCATACTTAAATGTTTGATATCAATAAATCCAAAGTAAATACAAAGGTATCTCTCAAAGGATGAAGTTGTTTATTAGTAAAAAGTCTATCCAAACAGAACAAGGCTTATGTGAAAAAGTAATCACCTTTTTTGTTTGATCATTCATTAACTGTAATTTATCGCTTTTTTAAGAGAGTAAGGTTCAATTTTAGTAGACACACCCAGGCATAGTTACTTTCAAAGCTGTAAAATGAAGAAATCCCCAAAATGGAACCTGCCTCTATAAAGTAGATTAAAAGAAAAAAAACCTGGACTATAGACCGCAAACCAAAATGAATCCACCAGTGCATCAGTAACTTATCCAGGAGATTTGGAAAAATATTCCAGGATAAAAATTAGAGCACTGCACCCGTCATTTGTTACAGTTAGGGTCAGTATTAATGATTTTACATCCAAGGTGAAAAACACTGCTACATAAAAAGAAAGTAAATCCTTGTATCTACTGATATAACCATGAATTCTGCTTTATAGTTAAAAATCTTCATGTAGGATGTAGGAACATTAGTTTGTGACCATAACACTACCTATATGATGGAGCAGGAAAATTATCTTTCAATCTCTGACTCGCTAAAAAACAGCTAAATAAAGGTTTTCAAGCTGCCAAATCAAAGCTTGGACTTAAATCTGATTTTGATGTAGCATAACCAAACAGGTTTATTAATGTTGTAAAATGCAGCAATATGGCTCAATTAAAGCAATTAACCAAGGAAAAGTCACCACCAAAACTTAGGAAAATTGCTGTCTTGCCTAAAAGATGATATCTTCATTTATAAATTACAAAAACAAACAAAAACAGTATCCAACAACTACTTTTTCACTGTGTTGTATATGCTACTTTTATGAGGCATTGAACTTGTTTTTGTTTTCCCCTAGGGTTACTTTGATTTCCTCCAGAAATCGGATTTGGCGGGCTTCCTGTCCTCGACTGAAATCGAACACATCAAGTCCACAGTCCAGGCACCCAGCCAGGCCTCTGGGGCCCCCGAGCTAACGTATTATGAGGGTGGACTGGATGCAGAGGGCTCCTCGGACACCTACTGGCCAATGCAGTCAGACTTGGCTGCACCGGGCCTGGACCTGGGATGGCCGCTTTCACAGCACAGTTTCATTGGACCCACGGAGGTCACAACCCTGGTCAACCCGTCTGAGCCAGAAATGCCTAGCATTAAAGAACAAGCTAGGAGACTCATCAAGAATGCACGCCAGGTGAGCACGAAGGCCAGTGTTAACGAGACTTAAGCATCACATTGTGCAGAACCAGATATATACGTATTAAAACTGCCTACAAAAATACCCCAAAATATACAAAGTATTTGGAATTAAATTTGCAGCTTGATGCGTTTTTGTCAGGCTTTGATATATCTGTTTTCTTATCACTATACACTAGGTAAATCAACTTTATCTAAAATAAAAAAAAGAGAAAAACAGTTTGATAAAGTGCTGGCAGGTCTGAACTCTAACTTTATTAAATCAAGTTGCAGTATTAATTTTAACTCCCTTTTTTTTCTACCTCTGGTAAAATTTCCAGCACTCCCTTTAGTCAAATTTCTAACCGACTGGCCCTCAGCTAAATTAAAAATATGATTAACAGTACACCGGCTGCCAAATGTGACAAGCAGTCGAACCAGTTGGTTTGAAGGAGCATGTCTTTATTTGTCCTATGTTTAAGTTTGAATTTACAGAGTACATGTCTGTGTCTCGCAGGCGTTTACTTTTAGCATCTCTCCTGAAGTCGGTGCCTCGGCGTGCACATGGAGAAATGACAGCTACAAAATACAATGACTCACTCTACAAACCTCATGTAAATTTAGCATTGCAGATACACTCAGCGTAGCCAAATGCGTGAAGGAGGGGTATAGTTATTTAGTTTTAAGCCTTTCATAAAAGGCTTGAAACTTAAGTTTGGAAAAATAATTTGTTAAGACTGACAACAGTGACCTCATCTTCCACAATAAACACATATATTTAAAAAATCAGAAAGTCCTGGCTCAGTTCGTACCTTTGCCAATTTGTTTCTCCATTTCATATCCATAAATTACAATTTTATATTTTTACATCCTAAATGCTTAAGAAGCCATGGCAAAATAGTTCTGTTCTCTTTTTAGTTCGTTATTTTTAATTAATTATAGATGTAAATTGACATACAAGTGTTCAATAATATAATTGAATTGTACATTTTAATCTAAAAACTATAAACTTTGGGCTCTGATCCTGTTTTGGATCAGATACACTCCTAAAAACAATCGGGCTTCGATATTATTCAGGAAATGAAATGGTTTAAATTGCCTGCATTTCAATTAACTCACATCATCCTACCTTTCTTTTCTATCATTAAAGTGACTCCATTTTGGCTTCTTGGTTGATAAAATCATTTTTTGGTGTGGGCATTTAAAGCAGTACAAGTCTATCCAATTGGCCTGCTATGTTAACAGAGAGCAGGTTTCAGCACATTTTTTTTTTATTGGTGTCACAAGACTGATATACCTTACATGCGTAGAAAAAAGAAAATTTTTTATCCTCGGATGCAAAAGTGGGTATAAGATGAGGCATCATCAGTAGAAAATGTTCTGCAATAGAGGAAACCCTTTTGTTATCTCCTATTAGCCGCCTAAAATTGCTAAGAATAAAATTACAATGGCTGATTTAGAGTTGTTACAAGAAGTGTGGCCATGCCTGGCCATATCCCTGTATTAATTTTTTTTCCCTCCCTGTCTAGGTTATCGCAATTGCAATGGACATGTTCACAGATGTTGACATTTTTTCTGACCTCTTGGAAGCAGCAGGACGCATGGTGCCTGTTTACATTTTATTGGACGAGAAGGACGCGCCTCACTTTGTCGCTATGGTTTTAAGCTGCAAAGTCAACCTGGAATCAGTTCATGTGAGTTTCAATTTTTTTTTTTATTACCCTTAACAAAATTTGACATGGTCGGCAGTTGCAAGTCCAATTTCTGTTTACAGATGATGCGCGTCAGGACTGTCGCAGGAGTCACATACTACTCACGGTCAGGAAATACATTTAAAGGACAGTTGAAGGATCGTTTTCTCTTGACTGACTGCAGGGCTGTACTCAGTGGAAACTACAGGTAAGTCAGTGGATGAAATCATTTATTAATATTGTCAATTAATCTGTAAATGCTAAGACTTTTTTTTTTCTTTTTCTAGTTTCATGTGGTCATATGAGAAGATCCACCGCTGCATGGCACACCTCTTCCTTGGAGAACTAGTCACTACTTTTGATGACGAGTTTCGAATTCTTTATGCTCAGTCAGAGCCTCTGGTCATTGATCAATCCATTGCTCTCGCTATCCCCGAGCCGGCCACCAGCAGCTACATGAACCCCCAGTTCGGTTTAAAGAGGTCGCAGTCTATGCGTAACCCCATCGGGTTCAGGAGACAGCCTGAGGTTTCCCCCGCCTTCCCCTACGGAGAGTTAGATCGTAACTCCTCGCTGCCTTTCCGGAGGAATGACCCCTTTCGTCACACCCTGGAACCCAGTGCAGGAATCACAATAGGAAAATATTCTCAGCAACAGTTTCGTCTCCAGCAGTCGTTCCTGGAGCAGGGCAAGTCCATTGTGTCCAGGCAGATGGAGATGAGTTCAAGTGCATTTAAGAGACACAGCTATGCTGAAGGAACTCAGGAAAACTACTCATCTTCCCGACAATACATGAAGCACAGAGTAATGAACAATCTGGAAGAAACTGATTTTCAAAGGTAACTACTTCTAAATTGTGCTTTGTTGGAGATTTTTTTTAATTTAAATTTATCTCATGAACAAATGCTTTACAGAGTCATCTCCTGAAAAAAAACATGTCATTACCAACTAAAACGCACTATTTTTTCTTCACAGAGAGCAAATATCAAGTAGCCATTACTACACTGAAGGTCCTGGTCCGGGTTCTGGCCATGGGCATTATGACCGACTTCGAGGCCGTCTCCCTCACCTTGCCATTGACCAGTATTCAGAATCAAGTTATCAATCTGATCAGGAGCCCCCACCTGGAAGTAGGGACTACTTCTCATCAGAGGACCTGAGGGGACATGAGGAGCTCCATGGTCCTCCTGTAGCTGGGAGGTATGGAGGAGGATCCACTGGCCGGAGACCAACCATAGGCCAACCATATGCATGTCAGAGCTCGCCGACACATTTGCATCCACCCGAGAAGTTTGGAAAGCAGTCTGATGAAGAGCACAGCCAAGATCCAAGTGTGAAGCAAGGCATGAGGAGTTGGAGAATCCATTCGTACTTGAGCACCTATGAGGATGGCGGAGAGGAAGGCTTGCCTCAGCCAATGGGTCACGACGCGTTTGATGAGCCCATGCCTCCTGAGCAACCGAGTGCATCAGACAGTTTAGCTCAAAGATTTGCAGTAAAGGATCCGCCAACTGTTCCCCCCAAGCCCAGACCTGATATAATAAGACCCCGCTTTGGAAAACCAAATATGCCTGAAAGTAAAAATAAAGACTCTGCACCAGCAACAACCAGTGATCTGGTTACCTCTTTCAGTGATTTTAGGTCTTCTGTTTTGGAAAGAAGAGACAGAGAGCCAGAGAAGGAAAGGGAGTCAGAAAGGATGTCAGTCAGGGAGGGTGTAGAAGATTCGGAGAGTAAGGAAACCCCAGATCTTTTTTTGTCCAGGCACGAATCGTTCCGCTCACGAGTGAACCCTCTCCTCCAGCGTAGCTCTCGTCTGCGCTCCTCACTAATATTCTCATCTTCCAAAGCAGAGATGCACAGTGGCAGCCTTGGTTTAAAACCAGCGACAGAAGAAGATGACCCATTAGATCCGGGACGCACTTCATCCCTTGTGGCCCAGATTCTTGAAAAGAGAAGGTCTTGGTCTCGTGAGCCCCTTGACTGGCGAAAGAAAGCGGAAGAAAAAAATAATGATAAAGGGAAAGATGAGAAAGAGGAAAAGGAGAAAGAAAAAGAGAAGGAGGAACAGCAACAGAAAAAGGAACCAGAAAATACCTATCTGACCAAGAAAAAAGAAACCCCCCATACTTCTGAAAAAGAAGAAAAGACAACAGTGAGAGTTGAAACAACTGAATCCAAGCCCTCAGCTATTGTAAGTGATTTATCTAGTAGACTACAGTATTTCAAAGATCTGGAGAACAAGCGAAAGGCTCCGAAAATTGAGACAGAGGCTCAAAAAGCTTGGGAGCCAGCTGAAAAGAAGCCAGACCTCTCTGAGAAGGACACAGCCGATACTACGGCACCTCCAAAAAACCCACCTATAAACATCACTTCATCAGAAAAAGAACCCAAGAAGCCAGACATTGCCGCAAAACTGGCAGAGCTTTCTCGAAGACCTTCAACAAGTTCAGTCAAGCCGTCATTAATAACTGCAAAGCCTTTTGGAAGTTCCCTGAAGCTTTCAGAGACATTACAACCCCACAAAAAGGAGAATGAGATCGAGGGCCAAAGGAAAGATGAATCCAAGTCTGCAAAGCCTCCTCCATCACCCAAGATGATCAAGAAGGATCAGATAAAGCTCAAGTCCCTGACTCTTCGTCGCATATCCTGTGGCGACGATGGCCTGGGGAAAGATGCAACAGATGCTGAGAAGAGCGAAATGAAAAAGAGCCGCTCTTACAGCTCTTCAACGTTAACGCATGAAGAGTCTAAGGAAGGACTGCACAAGGTTATGGGTTCTAATACTTCATTAAACACAATTGGTAAGGGAAAGGGTGAAGATAAGACGCTTGAATTCCTGAAGAAACAGACTCAGAGGTTAAAGGGGCTCCTGGGGCCAAAGGATAAAGAGAAGAAAGCCTCGAGCGATGACAAGGGCATGAGTACAGTCATGGAGGTGTCGGACGATTCCAGTAAAAAGCAAGGCTCCTCAGCTAAAATCACGACATCCACAACTGCTGAACAGCCCGCCACCAATCATAAAGAATCAGCTGGGAAATCGGGACCCTCGCGCTACCAGGCCCAGGGAAGCTCTGCTCTGTACAGCAGCAACCTGCGGGACGACACTAAAGTCATTCTGGAGCAAATCTCTGCTAACAGCCAGAAAAACCGCCCAGAGCGAGAAGAAACTGGAGGAGACAAAGAGAGTGGTGACACGGACAAAGGACAAGAGACAGAGAAGCCCTTTAGGAAGAATCGATTTCTGCGACAACCGGGGAACACCCAGGAGAGGGAGGGGCTTCTGAAGAGGATAGAGAGTCTGAGGAAGGAGAAGAAGGTCTACAGCCGCTTTGAGGTAGATAAAGTCACCAGCACTGACAGAAATATTATATAGTATAAAGCTTTAAGTATTAAATTACTTAATTCAGATAAATTAAAACCATAAAGATTTTTATGGATGAAATGGAAATTTTAATATCTGCTCTTTTTTTAAATGTTTAATAGGCTAAATGATTAAGTTAATGTGTTCTACCTAATATATAGTGATATCCAAAAGTGTTTGCTCCCTCACATATCTTTTAAATGATAATTTCATTTTTCACTTATGTCAGAAAGGAACTACCCCCTGAACCTAGGAACTGGTTGTGCAACAAATTCTGTTTTTCACAGCCATCTTGGATTTAGTCTTAGTCTTCAGGACGAAAACTATTATTAGTCTTAGTCAATTTTTAGTCATTATGCTATGTGATGGTTTTAGTCGGTTTTGGTTGACAAAAACTTAAAAAGTTTTTAAGTCTAGTTTTAGTTTTATGTTGCAAAAAAAAAAGTTAACCTTTACAATTTTGAATAACAACCAGATTCCTTTCCAGACTGAAAGCCGTAGCCTCGATACTACAATAGCTGGGTATAGAATGTTGCCGTGCAGTTCACCGTTGCTGTTGGGCAGAAAACTTTGATTTATAGAATTCAAATAAACCTTTTTTATGAATTAATGCACTACTTTATAAAAAAAGTTTCTCAAAAAGTTGTGAAAATAGCAGATCTAGTTCAACACATCATATTTAAACATACAAGGTTTCCATTGTAAAGTAAAAACTTCCTTATCTACTATGAATTATACATTACGCACAAATTAACCAATCTTCATTGCCCCAAAAAAGCAAAGAACAAAAACATTCTTCTTTCTACTTTGGCAATTTTGGCTTTTTTCTAAGAATTTGCCCCTTAGTAACCACTGCTCAGGGGTCAAAGTAGATTTAAATTAACAGGGTTTTGAAAGGTAAAACATACAGAAAGAACGTACATAATTGTCTTGTAATGCCATGGCAATCCAGACCTAATTGAATTCATATTTTAACTAAAATGTTGACATATTTCAAGGAAACAGAGAAAATGTTTGGATGACAACACAAGGAAATATTTACATCATATTTAAATAGATAAAAAAGAGAACAATGGGAGAGAAATATTCAAAGATCTATGTAGCTTTTCATTGGGCTCTATCAAAAAATCAACATAATTCAGTGAAATATTTTATTTGGATATAATGTAGGGATTCCTTTTTGTAGAAATTAAAGTATGTTTAGTATCACCTCTTGTGAGCTGGAAGAAATAAAATCTTGATAGTTAGACAAACGATGTTTACGCTTGGCAGAGAAGGATCAGCAACATAGTTTATTAAGTAGCGATGGAAGAACCATACTGCTGAGAGTGAACCATAAGGGATGGAGCGTGAAGTGCGGACTCAGAGCTCCACGTGCAAAGATGCATTTCTACACAAGCACAGATAGAAGATCAGAGCAGAGCTTGTCAGAGTTGAGCGTGCAGTACAGACCATTCCGGGTTATTTTCTCTGACCCTGCCGCTGCTGCCATGATCCATCTGTGCTTCTGCAGCGGCTGATACTGATTAGTTGATTACAGCACAATGATGCATTTTAAACGTCTGACCAATGACCTGCTAATTTTCATTTAGTCCCGTCTCGTCTGACTAGTCATGTTTTAGTCATCAAAGATCCATGTTTAGCTCGTCAGTTTTCGCTATTATCAATGAAAAAAAAGGAGCGTCAACGAAATGATTTTGTCATCATCATTGTTGATCAACACTGTGCAACCCTTGGCAGCAGCAACTGCTATCAGCAACATCTAGCATTAAGTCGATAACACGGCTGTGGAGGATTTTGTGGTTTGAACTTTATTGCTAAAGTGTTTAAATTAATCTACATTGAATACTTTGCATCTGAACAACAATATTTTGCAGCAGCATCTAAATCTGAACTTTGACTAGTAAATCCACAGTAAATCATGGATTCTGCTTCTTTTTGTTGTTGTTAGGGATTGATCAAATGGGCTTTTTTGTTATTTTTGGCCAGCAGGTGTTTTTATCTCAGATCTAACCCGCAGCTGTTGTTTTTCCCCCTTAATCCATGAGATCATAATTTAAAATATTATTTTTGTATTCACTTGGGAACTTGGAGACATAGGGCAGACAGAATCAATGTCTCTGCTAATCCTGTTGCTCTGTTAACAGATGGGGAACAGCCTGGCATAACTAAAGGTGGAGTTTCAACCATTTATGAGGGAGCTATCGATGCAAGCCGATCAACTAACAGCCATTGCCAACTTGTGCCAACAACAATCACTCCTCAAAGAACTTCGGTGTGCACAAGCTGCAGCCTTTTCTGGATTTACACACAAAGAAATAATAAAACTTGGAGAGATGATATTGAAAATGCTGAAAACAACCTGAAGTCACTGGGTTTGGAATGTGCCTCTTCGCCAAGAACTGGTACCCCTCTTTTCCTTATATGGTGACTGAGAGACAAAAGTGACTACTAGCATGCTGGCAGTGTTGGCTAATGTTTCACAAAGCTTGTATGAACGTGACTGGGGGACTCGAGGATGAAAACAAACCGTCTGCACATGCTGGAGCAGACAGAAAAATAAAAACGCCAGTCCAAAATACGCACAGCAGTATTCTGCAGTAAGTGTATGGTTCTTTTGTTTCTGGAGATGTTTGTTTGCCTGGGACTAGTTTGCCGATTAACAGGAGAAAGTGTCCTTATGGTTTCACTGTATGCCAATTGCTCATCGAGGCTCTTACCCAAGTTGGAGATCTAAAACAATGACGTAATGCCAATGAAATAAAGTGCGTAGTACTGTTGAAATAAAGAGAATAAGGTGTGCATAAATATGTTTGTTGAAGATAAAATTGCATTAGCTAGAGTTTTTTTTTTTTTTTATATAAAACCCAAAGCTGTAAAATTTATCTTCGTTAAGATGTGCACCCTTTCCACAGCTAAAGATGTCAAATAACAATTCAGTGCAGGGCTTTTTCTGTTCACTACTGTATGCTTGCTGGCTTTACTTCTATGCAAATCAAATGTAAATGATTTACAGTTGCTCTGAGTCGCTGTGAAAATAGTTTTGTTGGCATGTTACCTATTCTTCTCTGTGTTCTCAGTTTTCAGTGAGGCATTACCTCTAAGAGAGAAACAAGGGAGAAAGGTCTGGGTGTATTTATTGCACAGTTCTGGAGCAAAGCCATGCCACCTTGCAAAACTCGCTTCACTTTTAAAGCCTACGCCCTAAGCAGGACTCCTGGCTATTTTGTTGGCCTGACCACAATAAAAAAAAAAAAAAACTAGGTGATTGCTTATAACCTAAAGAGGGAAATAAAATATTTGGTGGAGTTCGTCTGAATAAAGGATTTACTCCAAAACGGACGGTTTAAAGTTTACGTGTTTGTGATTCACCATTCTGCTGTATATATTTATATATAAAAAAAACTTTTTCATGTTTTCCATATTCATGCACTGTAAAAGTGATTTAATGGTGTTTATTTTTTAAACATGAGTATGGATTCGCTCTTGTTAAATATTGCTGACGTTAATGAGGGTGATTCAGTTGCACAGGGTTATTGTGCTCTTAAAAGTGGAAAAGTATCACACTGTTTTCAATTTCTGAAAAAAAAAGTATTTAATTAAATGCTTAAAAAAGATTTTAATTATGGCTGTGTGTATATGAATTATGAGTTACTATTTTTGTTGTTGCAGATAAAAAACAAACTGCAATTATTTTTTTTTATATGTTTAGTGCAGACTTCAACATTTGTATAGATAAACAATATGAACAGGTTACCGAACAGAAAAACCTGACACAGATCAAAAAAATAAAACAGGTTTGGGATTAATAGATGCCACATTAACACAAACTACAAGCCCCTATAATGATTTAAAAGGGAATTATCTCAGTTAATTTAGAAGGAATCACTACAATAAAGGATATTTTAACTTTATAGAGATAAACAAACAAAGCATCTGGTTCAGAATAATGCAAATTCCTATCGTCCTGAAAGTAGCAACAACTCAGCAGGTTTACACGGCAATCTGTGCGGCTCCAGCCTCCAGGTGCTTCTGTTTCTTCGCCTCCGCTAACTCTTCGCTGAGTTTGTCCAGCTGAGCCAGCTTCACTTGTTCTATCAAAGACAGTTTCTTTAAACACCACATGCATGCATGACAACTGATTCACCACAAATATGCTCACAGATGACCGTGGGAACCCTTACCAGCTGATAAAAGCTGATGTTTTGCGTTTTCAGACTTCTGCAATTCATCTGGAAGTCTCTTTGGATTCTAAATAACATTTTTTAAAGAGATAAATTTGGTTATTTTAGTTATTAGTTGTTTAAATATAGAGAAAGGTAATAAAGCCAACTTACAAAGCCAAAGTCAAGTTGCTTGTGCTGCTCTATCAGTTGCAGAAGTTGATTTTCAAATCTCATTCTGTGGAAATCGGGATGTTTTTGTACGTTTTTTATGGTACAGTTAAAGTCAGCATTCTGGGTGCCATTAATTACCACTTCATGAATACGTACCGGAGTTTCCTGTGTTTCAGCTTGACTTCCTGGATCTCACATCTGTGCTGCTCCATCAACTTTTCAGTCATCTTGGTCTGATTTAACTGCCTTCAAAGCACATTTTAGCAAACTGGATATATTGAAATTCATAATTTTATTTAAACTAAAGGAGATCACTTAACATGCAAGAGTTAAAACCTTTGGTGGCAGATTTACTGCTTCTTTAAAAGCTCGAAAAGGTCTTAAATTTGTTCATCATTGCTGTGACTTTCCAAAACTATTAGATTTCCAATAGTCCCCCTAAACTCTCTATATAAGCTAGAATTCCTAGTTTTTTATTACTCGTTGTGGCTGTCTGGGGAAAACATGCAATCTCCACAGGTCTGCAGAGTTGAGATTCCAACCTCAGACATTCTTGCAGGAAAGTGGCGGATCTTTCCATCCTGCTACTACGCTGCCTTTTTTGTTGCAGCTTTCCTGCAAAGAATTCTCATAAACCTTCCTTCTTTACAGGGCAGAGTTACAACAAAGTGCGTCACAACAGCTATTGCTGTATTTCACGACAATGCCGGGCAGCAGGAAGTCCTAGTAATTTGCTATCAGATGGTAAAGAAAAATGTTAGCAATAAAGTAGGCTGGACTGGCGGGACATGCAGTCATCTTACAGCAAGATAATGACCAAAACACCAACTCACCAAGCTTGTTTGGGCAACAAACAAAGGAGAGATGGCTAAAAATATATGTTTTATTTTTAGTTTTTTATATTACAAAATACATTTTCTTTTACAACATCTTTGTTAAACAGCAAAACAAGTTTGTAAGCACTGGTTAAGATAATGTGTATTATTGTCTGTAATGTAGACTGTATATATATCAAACGTATCTTAGTATCAAATAAAGTTAACTAAAGTAAAATTAGGTTTTCATTTATGAAAAGGAAAAACCTGTCTGTACTGACTCAGGCCTTTGAGATTAACTTGGTGAAGAACCAAGCACGCACAATGTTAGCTTGGTGCCATAAAGCAGCTCGCCTTGTTGTTCTGGATTGTGCATTTCTTGTTTATCGGAATTATGTCACGTTGTATCAAACGACCTGCCACCTTTTTTTTCAGGTGTGGTTTTGATCTTAATAACTTTCTGGAGATGCAGTTCCTGCTCAGCCTCTCTATCTTTTTTTTATTTTAGTCATAAACACTGACCTTACTAAATGGAAAGGAATTATGCAGGATTTCAGATGTTGTCCTGTTTTATTTTCTGATATCCTGAAAGAGGTTTCAAAGGGTTTATGAGGTGGATTTGGTTGGCTGACGAGTCCAGGGAAGGTTCACCCTGTTTCACCTTCTCTCCATTTGTGGTTAATGGTCCAGACCTTCAGATATGACCCTGTTAACCTTTCCTGGCCAGCAGGTTGGTATGACATGTTGTTAAATGAGATCTTTTCTGTTTTGGGGATTTATTGATTCTAATGCTCTGGCAATTATCAGATCTTTGTGAAAGAGAATCAAGAATATATTAAGCTAAGAATTTGACAAAGGGAACATTTCTATTTATTCATAATTCTATACAGAAGTGGTTGGCTTTGCATCAATTCATTCTTTTAATAAAGGAACTTCTAATTTAAAGCTATATTGTGAATCACTCTGACCAACCCTTGGTATTGTAATATTTTTTTCAAATAAAAAAGCAATTTATATAAATGTGAAAACATGACAAGGGGTGTTTTTGAATGCTGTAGAAATAAATACTACAAAAGTAAATAAAAAAAAAAAGCAAAAAAACAACGAAAATACAAATATGATCCAGCCATACTATCAGACAAAACCTTCTGATGTGGAAGGTCACTGCCATCTAGTGGTAGAAATACTAAACTATGAAAAGTAAATAATGACAGGTTTTAGTTTTAGGTGAAAAATTTGTATAAAATAGGAATAATAATAAACATTTTTACCTGTCAAGTTCTTGTTCAGACTCTTCACACTGCAGCTGCA